TCGCTCGTATAATAGTACTCTAGTTGCTCCAGTTCGTTTTCTCGATTCACGAATGTACTTCATTCGAACAGTGCACGTATACCGTTTATAGTTTACGTTCGTAACTTTACGACCTTCCAGTTTCGACGCTGCATCCAAAACTTTGAAATATACCCACTACATAAAAACGAAGAAGCGTATTTTATTACAATTCTAATTTTTCAAACATAATTTTAACCATTTTTATTAAATTTTAATTTACTTACAAATTTTTAACTTCAACTTATACAATTTTTTTTAAAATAATATTTCAAAGGTTAGAATTTAATTTTTAAAACATTTTTCTATATATATAAAATTTCTTTCTTATTTACATGTTGAAAAATGGAAAGATATAAGATATTTTATATATACATATATGACAATTTGAAAAATACAAAATTTTTCCGACATTCACGATATCTGAATATTTTACACATATACATTGAAAAGTAAAAGCTTTTTGAAATGTGAAAACATTCGTTTCGAAATTTTCCTCGACTTTTCTCCTTGAAACAATTTCAAGAGTGAAATGATGTTGACAAAGTATGTGACATGTAGTCTAGGCGACGTTGTCGTATGTCTGTATTCATCCCAATTTCCGTCCTGCAACGACAACGTTTTGCATGGAAATTTCTTGTATCATGGATCGTTTGCATCTAAGCGTAAATTGGGAAACTTGCCTGTCAATGTTCGCCTCCTGAAGCTCTCGAGTACTATATAGTAGAGGAAAAAAAAAATTTATGCGACGAAACATTTTCGCTCTAAACTATATAGAATAACCTTTATTAACCGCTTCAAGTTTTCTCTTTTTTTTGAAGGTGAAAATAAATTCTTACTCTCGTTTTTTATTTTTTCATATTACTCTCTAAATATGAATTATAGTTAAAAGTAGTAAAATCTTGTTTTTTTTTTCTTTAGCTATTAGTAAAAAGTAATTAATTTTCATTGGAAAAATAGTCAAAACTAATTGTTAATGAAAGGATTTTTTTCTTTTCAATACAAATTTTGTTGATTTAAAAATTATAAGAGTAACTGCGCTTTCTGAGTTGTCATATTATATACATATATATATATGAAACGAAAGTTAATACCCCTGATTTTTCTATTAATACACGTAATATTCATTTTTAACTTTTAAAATATATATTCGCCCTACTTTCAATTCTGACGTCAACATATAGTTGTTTTTCCTCTCAATTGTTGCGTTGTTATGAGGCATATAGAATATCTCTCTTATGTAATTCTATATACATATATATATATATAAACATGATTAGTTTGAAATAAAATTACTTTCCGTAAAAATGTCATCGACTATCATCCATTAGTATTATCGACAGACAATGACGAAATTTGTAATACCTGTGGAGCGGAAAAGAATAATTGCTCATAATATACGGGTGGAGGGACATTAATATACATTTCGTATGTATATATATATATACTGGAAATGCGTGTGTCATTTTGCGAATTCTGCGAAATTGTGATGGATCGTTATTTCACATCCTGCTCATGTATTTATCGGAAAAGCATTTTACGATTTCCGGGGTTTATATGTTTATAAATATGATTTTAGAAAATGGTAACGAAAAATTTTTTATTACTTTTTTTTCACCCATGAATATGATGGATAAGATTTTATAGATTTTTAATTATGTTCGGTGTGAAAAAATGTTTAGTAACAAGACACACGACTTCTCTTCACTGAAAGAAAATTCATACTACTAAGTATTAAACTCATATTAGAGTTTAATATAAATGTTACAATTTAGGGAAAAAGTGCACCTATACTGATTACTATTACAGTTTTTATGAAAATATATAATGAATTTAAGAGTAACTATTATTTTAAGAAATAAGAATTAGTATATTTATTTTAAAAATTAGTATTTTCTTTATGAATTCACAGAATACGAAATATTATAATAAATAATTTCACAAAATAGTAAGAAAAATAACATATATCCGTATACTTATTTCACATTTTGTAAAACTTTATATTAAAAGTCACGGATTTTCCCGAGAGACTACGAATTTAACCGAAGTTCTGTCTGTTTGCGGCTTCGTGTCCTACTCGAACTTCTACGACTTGATCCGATTTTCGAAAGTGTTGTTAACCAGCAGAACGTACCTATCAACTGTCAACACACGTGTTTCAAATGTTTATAGTGCCACAGAAAACATTTATAATTATTAAATTTATTATTATTTTTATTAATTTTTATTTTTTGATGTCATCTTTACAATTATTTAATTTTTATTTGCAATAAAAATTTTTATAACAATCATAATTTTTAATCTGAAAAAAAAGAAAAATCTATATAAACAATTAATAATAAAAATGAACCCAGCGTAACCTCTATAAAATTACACCATTGGCACTAGTAAACTATTTTTTATTATTAAGTTATTATAAGTAAACTTCTTTCTCGCAAGTGGTAAAAATATTCAGTAGTTAGTATATAAGAAAACGATATATGCCGACCCCCAGCGAAATTTATCGTTATGCGTGTAGAATTGTAAGTGTAGGTTTCGTTGCGATCGTGTAATGTCTATGTATAAGCGAAATGAACGTGCGTGTTCATTAGTATGTGTATTAACCTGTATCGTAAGTGTGAATGTGTTGTTCCTAGTCTCACTCCTCTTCCTCCCGAGAATTAACGGAAACGTCCGAGTTTCCACTTTTTTTCCCTTTTCTTCCGACATTCTGAATTTTTCGTATAAAGTTTTACAAATATTAGAACGCTACATTCCATATAATGCAACAACTCTATGAGAATTTAATATAATATTTTCAAATATTGGTAATCTTTTTACGTTCTTTCTACAATAATTATTAATATTTGAAAAAAGATTTTAAGTTGGAACTTTAATATAAAGTATATTGAATTTTAATAAAAAGTACACTTTTCCCTAAATTCTAAAAGAATATATTAAAATGTAATACGCATTTTGTTATTTTTTCCTATGAAATTTCTTTCAGTGTTGAAGTTGATTAATATATATATTCATGCTGCAAGAAAATTGTTTGAAAGAAAATTCGTGTAATTAGGATTGAGTATTTTTTCAAATTCTTTTTTCTTCTTTTATGTTGTTATAAAAACACATTGTCTCAAATAAACATGTAAGATTTTTCCATTTATTTTCTTCTAAGTATACTTCCTTTTTTGAAATTTAAATAGTTTAAAAAATTCAACTCATTTTTTTAAGCAAAATGTATAATGAATGAATAATAAAAGTGTGATATATAGTGAAAAATGGAAACAAATTGTAAAATAAATCGAGACTCGTGTTTGTGGTGCGAATATTGTGTAAATAATTCAGCAATCAGGAGTAAAGTTATGGGGACATTTTTATTGGACGAGACAACAGTTGACACTTACAAATGCACCCTTCTTTTAAAGGACATACACACACACATTTTATGTTTAATATATTAGGAGACGGTAGCATTTTTTTTTATAAAACAACCCCTAATTGAATTACGATTTCAATATTTGCGGTGCGGGATGTAACAAAGCATCTACATTTTTCATTTAGAGTCAAAAGTGTATATAGAGTCTGTGAGTGAATATATAATATATTCATCTCAAGAGAGAGAGAGAGAGAGAGAGAGAGAGAGAGAGAACCTATGTTTTATTTTTGTTTCTACTTCCAGTAGTAAAAAAAATGTTACAATTTTCTTTTTTGGAAAAAAGATTTGCGACAAATTTTTTTTCTTTGAATGATTTACATTTTATTGCTGGGAAAAAGAGTATAGAGTATATTTTTGGCAAGTGAAGAAATGAGAAAGGTCCAACTTTTTAGAGATGAAATATACTCAATTTGCCAGACTCAATATTCATATCATTTGTTATATGCCATGCCTCCGTATACAATTCGAGCAGAGAGACCTTCATTTCGAATGTCACTAGATGAAACATGACCAACAAAATTCGAGCGCGGTTTCAAAATCAAATTAGAATTTCTGTGAATCTCCACTTTCTATATAATTATGAAAATGACTAGCGCGGGAAATGTGAGACTTGCAAAGTTTTAACTTCTCTTTTCCCATATTCCTAACGAAAGACCAAAATTAAGATTTTTACGATTACAAAAAAATTTGTAATTTGGCTTAAAAAGTATTATTTTTTCTACAACTATTTATTATTATGTAATATAACTGAAAATCAGTTTCATGATCGATTCAAATAAATATTTATTATTATAAATATAATTATTATTTGAGTCAATTAAATGGTATTTGTAACCGATTATTTGAATGAAATAATTTTTTTTCAGAGTAAAATATAAAATTTGTTTTTTTAATAATATACATTAAATTATGAATAATTAATTGATGAGCAGTTTATAAATCACTGTTTTCGTTAATTAATGATGAGTAATAATAGAAGTTCTAAACGATACTATAACGATATCAAGTTTCAAAGTTGCTGCCTAGTCTCTCTGAAATCGTCGTTAATTCCCAATGCTTATTAACGACCGTTAACGACCAAATCGATTCAGACTTGGCCAAATTACGTAAGAAACTTTGCGACTTGTCGTCGTTGGCTGCCTGCTCGAGCAGCCAAATGTCGAGCGTCGCTTAGCGCGATTGCCGAAGTTAGTGTGATTAATTTCGAGTTAAATTAGATTGCAGTAGTCGGCCCCGTGAAAAGAGCGCAAGAGAGAGACTATTTACCACGTGTAGAAGAATTCGCTAAGTTTGCGAAACGTGATTCCTTCTCTTCTGTTCACCTAATTTTCATTCAATTGTCGGCAATCAAGAAGAAGAAGACGAACTTTTCCTTTAAATCTAATAATCCATTTAGTGATTGAAAAAAAAGAATTAATGTTTCAAATTAATTTCATAATTTTTTTTCAAAAATATCGTTTTCTATATTAGATTCAATTTTTTTTCTTTTTAATAAAAAAACAAAATTTCTTTATGTCTGCATACATGTGATAAACTTCTCGAATTCAAATTTTGTATTACTTACATGTCTCGTATCACCAGCGAGGAGTGGAGTATGTGCCTGTAACAATGTTCTTCTCATTAAAAACCGAAATTATTTTCTTTCTCAAAAAATGTCAACAACAATCCGCATGCTCTTCAAATATGCTCGTGCAAAGCTGCATTTTTTCAAATCTAAAAATTTCTACTTTCAATCTATATAAAATTAATATAAATAAAAATAAACAGTTTTTTCACTATAAACGTGCATCGAAAGAAACTTTTTTTTTCATTATTTTTCATAATCAAAATTATTCTATAATAATAATAATAATAATAATAATAATAATCTAAAATTAATTAAAATTGAAAAAAAATTTAATAAAACAAGTGTTATAAATCCTGTTTGGAGAATTCTTGCCTGTACTATGTTTTTACAATTGTTTAATTCTTGGGAAAATATCTGGTTAGTTGGGTAGAAAAAAGTGGGGATGGGTGTATTATGATAAAACAGTGCCAAACTGTGTCTGTATTATGTTTAAAGCGTATATTATTATGTTTGGGCTGTTGTCTGAAAATACACGACGTGGAAACTTGCCTCTTGACCAAAAATAAGTGTCCCTGAACCGATCTTGGGTATTAGCTTCATTTACCGTAAATAAGTCAATAAAAAATGATATAATGTCAAAAAAACACTCGTGAAATATATTTTTTTTTTGAAAAAATATTTTTAGTTAAAAAAAGTATTTTAATGTTGAGAAAATATTAAAAATTTATTCAAAAAAAAAGTTAGGTTTTTTCATATAAAAATGTTGAAATTAGTTTATCGATTAGTAAAAATTTATTTAATTTTTAATCAAAATATTTTGAATTCTTGTTTGTATGATTTTCAAAGCTATAACTCTAGTGGTCAACTCTTTTTCATCAGTCGTAACTCCCTAAAGAATTGGCTGACACTTCTAATTGAAATTTATTGAAACTCGAACCAATTTCTTCTTCTTGACACCAAATTCTTTTTGTCTCTTCAGACAATCTCTTTCTCTCCCTCTCTCTCTTTTTTGCCACTGTTTATTTAATAAATCATTCATCGGCTCTATAGATTTAGTAAATATTCTTACATAAATAGTAGGTACTATAAAAAATAGTTAAAATATAAAATAATTAATAAATGTAAAACATAAATCTCTCTTCTTGCTATTTTTTTTAACTTTTGTATATGCAAATATTGTGAGATTGAAAATCGATATTCCATAAATGTGTAAATGTAACCAAATCCGAACGATTCGAATTCTTTTATATACATATATAAGAGAGGACATCTAAAATCCAAAGTTGACCCGATCGCAAAATGTACTAACGACTTTGCAAATTCTACATCACACCCATCTTCTTTCTCACACTCGAAGGGAAATTCAAGCTGTTTCGCACATTCGCAAATCCATTAAAGCCTCGAGTAGAGAATCTCAATGTTCCTTTTTCTAAAGATACTTGTACCAGTGCCATCTCAGAGATTACAAATATATATATACAGGGAGATGCTCGAGGGACTTTTATTCATATCCAAATGCTTCTATCCTAATTCCCGTATCGATTCAGTTTCTATGGAAATTAATCAAAATTTCGCTTTCCAAAGATTTCTCTTCCGATTTCTATTGATTTCGAATGGATCGTATATTTCCTCCCTCAGATTTTGATTGACAAATTATTTATTGATGGCCAACATTCATCTATCAGAATTTCCATGTGTCTAAAATTTCAACTGTCTAAATGCATTTACCAAAAATTTCATTCATTCTATTTTTTTTATCAGAATTCGTTTTTATTAAATAAATTTAATTAATAATAATACAATATATAATATAATTATTTTGAATTTAAAAAAATAGTATAAATTTAAAATAACCGGAATTACTTGAATGAAAAGTAATTTACGTTTAATTACTTTACAAAGAGCAGTAAACAATCAAGTATTTGATAATGAAAACCAAATACTACGCAGTTAACCGAAAGATAATGAGAATTTCCTAGGCAAAGAGTTAGATGAGGAAGAAGGGGAAAAATAGAAGAAAAAAACACCATCGCAGGTTCTTGAAAGACTGTAACGCAAGTCACAAACGGGAAGAGTAAATTAAAATAACAGCTTTTTCCTCTCCATACCAGAGACTTTCAATTATACGTTCTACTATACTTGACGTGGATTAAAATCATTTAAGCATTTTCAGAAACACCTTTTTACTGTCTGCATTATTGTTTTTATAAATAAATAAAAAAGTATAAATTATACACCGAGAGAAATGATACGTTTGTTTCGGAGCCAAATAAATTTTATTTGTGCTAAATTACATTTTTTATTTGAAACAAATAAAAAGTTATTAGACTTTGAGGCAAATATTTGTATTTGATTGGAATAAATTTTATTTGACTCAAATAAAAACAAATAAACGATTTCTCTGGATGTAAGTAAAATAAAAAAAGTTTGAAATATTTATTTCTAATGCAAATTTTATGTTAAAAAAGTCACGTAAGAGCTATAATTGAATTTTATAATCCCCTGCTCGCGCGCGAATTATCTTGACACCTCGCAACGATGGGCGTCGTAGCAATTGGTTCGTATAATTAATTACCATTCAAGTGAGCGTCCGTTGCAAAAGAGAGGCCGATGCAAAACGGAGTTAGTCGTCCATCTCTAAGGAAAAAGTTGCCTGAGCTGCAAACACTTGGCAGCTTTCCTTTTATTCTTCTTCTATGCTTTCTCGAAAAGAAAAAAAGCATCGTAATTTCGCCTACTTTTTGCAAGCTCGATCCACTTTATAATTATATATACAGAATTCCATGAGAAATAAGAAACTTCTTTCAATGAAAATTTATTGAAGACAATTTTTACTGATTAATTTTTTTCCCTCAATTTAGTTAGAATTTATTTTTTTAATTTCTCCAATAGAAATTTCGCTGATATTTTCATGATGTGAATTATATATGACTGGAAAAACATTATTTGATTCAAATAATCGGTTACTTGAAAGATATATAATTTTTGCATTTTTCCTCTTTCTTTTTCGCGCAGTACAGTTTCGTCCTTTGGGAAATAGTCGAGATTGAATTCAAGACAAAAAACGTGACGTTGAGGAAAACATAGACTCACCTCTTGAGGGACATATTTTGATAGTCAATAAAAAGTCAAAAGAGATTTTATATTATACATATAATAATCGCCTATTGGAAAAAAATTACAATTTTGAAATATTACATTTAGAATTTATTCTAAAATTTTAAATTAAATTATTTAAAATAAAAAAAATTTAATTTATTTTATATAATCGAATAGTAGTAGATTTATTTTTTTGGCTATAACAGAATTTTTATTCCATTTGATTGGGGGACACAGTAAAAATATTAAAAAAGCAATATATTTTCAAAGGATGATCAAAATTTTAAACAAAACGAACGTTTTAGAAAAGAAAAAATGAAATATAAATTCAACTAAAATTTTCCCGAAGCGATTCTTTATACTTATATATTGTTAGCACAACTTCTTAAAAAAGTTCATATATAAGCTTTACGTCCGATAAAATATGAATCGTTTCCCCAACTCTTTTTTTGCAGTTCTTGCCCTTATTCAAGGATAGAAGATAGGTATAGGCAAATCCCAGCTGTGAATTTGAAAAGTGTTGGACGATAATTCTCCATTTCCTCTTTGGCTGGTTATATATATATATATATATATATATATATATCTATCTTTTTTTTGAGAGAGAGAGAAATGGTTGGGGAGAGGCAAGTTTCACAGGTGTAGAAATTTCTTCACACATGCGAGAGGATTACAAAGTTAACGTTCTTCTTCAACCCATAGCATCAGCGAGGAAGTAGTATTGACATATGATGGACGATCAGATTTAGAAGAATATGAAGAGAAAGACAGAGAGAGACAGAATAGAAAAAGAGGAAAAACAAAATTTCGCGTTGATTTTTTTTTACGACAGCCTCTAGTAGTAGAAAATTTAATTACATGGTGTTAGTTTTCCGACCGCATAGCGTCCGACGTGGAAAAATTGTTCGTTCTTTTTCTTCTGTAACAATTCCCCAGACTCTTTTGCACACATACATACAAACATACATATAGGTCCAGTCCCCGAGGCTTTTACCTTCTAAAATCCGATCAAAGACGTGCATGACGTGTGTTGCAACGTAAAAATGTACGCTCGAAAAAATGCTCAATTTTAACAATATAATATACTCTCTAAATCTCAATTAATAAATTCTGCAAGTTCTAAACGTTCAAATTTTATAATAAAATATTGGTTTTTATATGAAAAAATAAATTAATAATTGAATAAATATTTAAAGTATTTGTTTATTTTCAGTAGTAATTTTAAAAAGTTTATAGACCAAAAAAATGATTTCGTTCTAAAAAAGGTTTTCGCGTGAATCTAGATAATGTATAATTTTAAAATTGGTGTAATTTAAAGATATCTTGAATAATTTGCAAAAACACATTCACTTTCTGACAGCGACAGTGTTAAGTGTTTAAAACTATACACCGATAGTTGTCAAGAGAGAAAGAGAGGGGGGGGGGAATTGCGGTTTTTATGTCAAATGCAGTTCGTGCTTTATCGCTAGTAAACGACGGCCATGACTATTATTCATGAACGCTATTTTCACTGTCTTATGTATACCAAAGAATTTTACAACTTACACAGGGACACACCTTAAACTGCAAGGTTTTTTCTCCATATATAGCACATCATTTTTTTTTGTCAAATTTATTTTTGTATAAAATACACTTTACTCTTTCAAAAACGCACTAAAAAAATTCTGATTAGAATTAGGTTAATCTAGCCAGAATAAAATCCTAAATATATCATTACTACTTTCTCTGGTTAAAAATATCAGAAAATCAATTTCTGGTCGATTTAACTAAAAATTCTTGTTACAATTTTTCTACTAAAACATTTTTTTTGGTTATTAACTTGAAATTCATAATTTTTTTGAAATAAAAAATTTAAGAGTCGTTTTATATTTATTATTTAGACTTTGATACGTACATATATGTAAACATGAAAGTAGTGGTCGAATTTTCAATAT